TTAAACTCATTTAATGAATTCATGTAATCTTTTACCCAAAAAGTATTTTCTAACTCGAATTGGTGAAACAAAAAATGGAACCTCTTCGATACACCGCCAAAACGATCTAAGAATAAGGCTGAAATATTAACAGATCAAAACTGATCAAACGTTGAATTTTGAATCTGATTGCATTTTTTCAAAACAACATGTCAATTTTATTAGTTTTTTCTTTGCGCTTCTTATAAATACCTTAAATCAATTATTATCATCGAATACAATAATCTAGAAAGATCTATCTATCTTTGTAGATAACATCACAATTTGTTGAAATTAATTCATATTGGAATCACTCCATCGTTCAAAAAAAAAATATCAGTGAAAAGTGAAAATATATATTGAAAGAAAATTACGTTTGAATGCAATCATCAATTGTAAAACATGGAAATTATGGGATATATAAATGTAAAAAGAATATTGGGATATAAAATAGCCACAAAAATGGTAACTTTTCGTGAAAAAAAAAAAACAGTAAAAATATTGGTGTTATAATAAATCAATGAAAGTAGTGAATCCAATGATTAATGCCGATGATTTTCAAATCGAAGCAAGTATTTTCTTTCCAGATGATAACCATAATAGAAATGACTAAATATAAATTTCCATTGAAATAAATGACACACCTGAGCGTTCTCATTGTATACGATGCGTTCATTGAAAGAATGAAATGTAAATAAATGAGCAGGCCAAACGTGTAGCGTTTGTGTATTTTTGTTTATTGATAAGATAAGCCATCATTTTTCGTGTGCGTGTGTACCTTTATGCCGAACAATCATACTTACGACATATTCGATGGTTGCTTTTTAGAAATTAATATGATTACTAGTTCTTTGAGTGTGACCAGTCAACGATTACCCAATTCTGGTTGAAAGTTGTCTTTGAAAAATAATAATAATAATTGAAGAATTGAAAGTATTAATGGTGTGAAATCATGATTAAATTACAATTGACCCTTTTGCTATTGCTATGCAGCCAGGTTTTTTGGATCACAGCACAGTTGAAAAGTGAGTATTGAAAGAAAATAATTTAAAAAAACGACGATTGAAAACAATCTTGAAAACAATTTAAAATTAATTTCATACAAGTTTATTGTGAAATTCGAATGATTTTATCACATACATTTCATAAAGTGGACGAGAGTGTTAATGGTGGCGAATGATTCATTCGAACTGCCGATGACATCAATTTGATTTGAATCACTTTCGCCGAAAGATAATTTTACAGCTCAATTCATGACTCCAATATTCACATCAACTCGACCATTTTTAACGATAAACAAAAAATTAACGAAAACTATTCCGCAATGTTTGTCATTGCGCAATATTTTTTATTCAGGTAAAACAATTTGCGTATCGGATAGATTTGAGAAGCAATGCAACATATTGGAGCGAGAAACAAAGGAAATAAAATGCGCCAAAGTTCAGGATAGCATTGAATGCGCAAATCTGTTGCGAAATAGATCATCTGGTTTTGGTATATTTAGCGCTGAATCAACATTGCTATTGGCCGCTTTAAACTATGACGATTTAACCGTTCTCAAAGAGTTACGACATATGGACCGCCAAAATTGTGAGTCATTTCATCAGAATAAACAGTGTTTATCATTTATTTTTAAATCTCTTCAAATTTTACTAAAACAAACAAGAACTGTTATTGGCATCGGAGAAGTGTGGAAACTTATTCCTATGATTTTTCAAGTGTTGCACAAGAAAGAACAGCACTTACAAGTGATCGCGACTCCGTGATGCCTGTAACAGGTCTGAAAGCAAGTGCTGCATTAGAAGTAGGAAAATGAGAGTTCTGCCACAGGTCGAAGCTTTTGAAGCTTGTGAAAAGTTTTAAAAGCTTCAACCTGTTCCAGAGGTTTTACTTCCATTACCTTCAATTTATAAAAAAAAACATTTAAATATAGAATTGATTTGAATTTTGCATAAAATTAGACTCGGCTGATTTTGAGTCAGTGGTCGTTGTAAAGGCCACACATAAAAATGGAATCGAAGGATTAAAAGGTTTGAACTATTGTCATCCGGGTCTATATTACGATCATACTGAACGATGGAGCGAACGATTTTTAAAATATTTCGAAAGAACAGTCACCACACCGAATTGCGATAAGCAGCTAACATCGCCAGTTGAAATTGAAATAGATGCATTGGCCACACATTTTAAATCGGCTTGCTACCCAGGTGCCTGGTCAAATAATCCAGAAGAGGATCAAAGATTGAGTTAGTTTTTTTTTTGCTTCTTAATTTAATTTAATTTTTAACAAAACTAATAGAATGAATTTGAAACAAATCAATATAGAGAAAAAATATCCACAACTTTGTGAATTATGCAATTCACCATATAGCCCTTGTGAGTATACCGACAAAAATCGTCATCTTGGTGCATTACGGTGTTTAATAAAAAAAGAAAGTGTTGCATACGTTTCGCTACAGGACACTCAAGACTTTTTCTCGCCGGTAAAACTCATTCAATTTGTAATGATTGATAAAAAATTGATAAATACTTTCAAATCACATTGACAGTTGTCGGAATATGCAAATTTAAGAAATGATTATGCTTATCTGTGCCCTGACGAGACCATTCAACTAATCTCGGATAATTCAAAAACACCATGCACATGGATGCGTCAACCGTGGCCAGTCATCATTTCGAACAAGTGAGACTTTTTTATTCAATTCATCGCAAACAAAAATCAGTTTTTTTCGCATTCATTTCGCTTCATTTTCAGTCAAGATAGTGTTCCGCTAAAAGCGACAATGAGTCAATGGTTTTATGGTAGGAGTAGCTGGGAAATAGCTATAAAAGAAATTTTGACCGCCGATAGTTTAACACCAGTTGAGACATCAATACAAAAACCACGTGACTTTTTCTACCCATGTATGTTTCTAGCCTTTACAACAAAGGATACACATATTTACTGCAATTAATTTCGCTAATTTTCAGTTCGTGAATTGCCGTTCAGTCAGTCACTATGCTCAACACAAGCAAACTGGTGCACAAAATCGTTTGAAGAAAAAGAAAAATGTGATATAGTTCGAGTAGCCGGAATTACGACCGGCATTCAGCCATTGATTGAATGCAATGATCCTGTAGGTGATGCAATACATTGTTTAAAAGAAGTGAATGAAGAACGTGCTGATTTCGTCGCCATTGATTCAAGTCTCGGCTATATTGCGAGACAGTAAGTGCACTACTTTTATATGTCAATTCTCATTGCCGATTCAAATCGAAATTTCGAATGTTATTTTACAGTCCATACAATTTAACAACAGCTTTATATGGTGAAAGCGATAAAGATGCTGCTGTTGTTGTTGTCGTTCGTGCCAATTCGAATTTTAAACGATTTGAAGATTTACAAAATTCAAAAGCATGCATTGCTGAATATAATGGCATTGGTAAGTATATGCTTTTAAAAATTTATTTTTGAATTACTTATTTTCTTCATGAAAATCTAGCATCCGTTTCCTTCATAAAAATCGGCAAAACTCTTGGATTCCTTCCAAAGGAACATTGCAATCATTCCCGTTTGCTTGGCGAATTTTTCGGATCATCATGTGTGCCAGGTGCGATTGATCCGTCGCATGGTGTCACCGAATTTGAGAATAAACTATGTTCAATTTGTCCACAAGTTGGTTCGGGTGTCATTTCATCCATTCGACCCATTTCTCAAGGATCGGAAACAAATTTCATTTCATCGGGTATGATTAGTTTGCATATTTGTTAAAATGATATTCAACATATTCAAATTTCTCTCTTGTCTTCATATGTACACCGAAACGTGGTATTAATATAGATCGAGACGTGGAATTTACTACAAGCAATATTCAAAGTGAAATTGATGTCATGAATAGTGAATTAAATTGCAACGCTGATCAAACAAACATTTTTTATGGAAATTTAGGTGCACTACTTTGCCTATACCAAGCGGGCGATGTAGCTATTGTTGGATTGAAAGATTTAAATGGTATGGAACTTTTGGAAATATTTCCATTGCAAAAAAAAAATGAAGAAAAAAAAACACGTTAATTTTAGAAAATGCAAAAGCACTTGGCATCAATCCAAATGAATTTCAAGTCATCTGTAAAAATGGAACTCTCGCTGAATATACCGGCTTTGATGTGGATTCAAACTGTGCTCTTGCTTCATTCGTAGACAGTAAGCACACACTTATTGAATTGCATTTATTTTTATGCTGAAATTCATTCATTTTTCTTGTATTTTGAAGGTGAAATCGTTGTAAAGCCAAAGAATCCCAAAACTGAAGGTATTATTAATGCTCTAATTTCCTATGAGAAATACTTCGCAGTCGATCCGGAGTTGAAAATTTTCAGTACCTTCAATGGGCACATGGATTTATTATTCAATGTAAGAAGGAGATATATAGTGCTCAATTTTTTTTTATTTTAACTGGTATTTGTTTCAATTTTTGCAATAGACCCACACCACTGGTTTTGCATCGTACGATGAAAAAGATTTGGGCACCGTTGTAGATAATTACAATAATCTTTTCAAAAGTCTCGAAGCATGTGGTATTGCATTCAAATCATATCCAGCCACAACTTTCATCTATGCAACACTATTCTTCACTTTGCTCATAAGTCGTCTACTTCAATAAATCCATTATTTACACATTATATACAAAAATAATCATGATTTTTCCTCTTTTTCGTTCTTTTTTAATGAAAAATTATCCTTATATAACATTTTGCATTTTAAAAAAATATGTGTGTAAATCTATTTTATTTAAAAAAAACTAATAAATTTTTTTTCCGAGTGAATTGTATTCAATGTCAACCATGTTTTATCGCAATAAGTCCATAGCATCTAGGTGAAATGACCGGATCGAAGAATCGTACCAAATAAGACATATCACCACATTTTTCTTGTTCCTTCAAGTATAAAAATCGATCGAGTAAAATCACATTTTCAACAATAGCCGCAATTGAAACTCGCATCAAATGATAAACATCTAAAAATCGTTCTTCCATTTTAAATTCGTTGCAAAGTTGATCTAATTCATCATCGGTGATATCATCAAATCTTAAAACTGGATTACGTTTGACCGATTTTCGTACGTATTCCTGAAACGTATGGCATTGTTTCAGTCGGCCGACTTCAATTCGGCCCACATACTCTGGACATTTTCGTTGAATTAAAACTTCAAGTAATGCACGAAAAAATAGATGATTATTTGGCAATTCTTTTCGATCCACGACACGATGAACCGATTGACAGGCCAACATTCGAGCATTTCGTCCGAGTTTTGTTTTGCGTTCAATTAAATATTGACTCATTGGAAAACCATCGATTGCATCCATACCATCGGGTAAATCGCACACTTCACGTTTCCTTGATTCGGGACTTCGTTCACGTCGTATTGACGTATAAACGAATTGACTAAATTGTTCGGTTAAAAGGTGATAGCAGCAACCAATATTGCAGACAGCTGAAATTTGCTTATTTTCACTGAATATTCGCAGGCATGATGGTGCCAAATTTCCACATGTATGCAAACCGGTTAAACACAGACCCGGTACTTCGTCCGATTCAATATTGAAATTCTCACTGAATAATTTGATGAAATCAGTTTGTGGCGTTATGAAATGCAAAGCATTCTTGTAATTTTCATTGATCACAGGCGCTTTTGGATTAATGCCTTGTTCCAATGTCACTTTTTTTCGTTCTTTTCTTTTACGGCGCGTTTGCTTTTCTATCAGTTCATTATTGGCTTTTTTCTCTGCCTTTGTTTTCATTGCATTCCAAAAACGCTGCAACAGAAATTTAATTGCGTTCAATGTGAAGAATTTTCAAACATATATTAAAAATAATACCTCCAAGTTTTCCGACCGTTTTACTGCGCCCATTGTATTGACTGGATTACAATCAACACCCAGACATTTGATATTATGTTCCAGTGATAATCTTGTAGATAAGTATCCTTTACCGTCTCCAGCATCGATGACACCAAGTGCCTTATTATTTCGAATTGGCGCACACATATTTGAGATTAAATCAGCTGTTATATGCACCTGTGGAAATTTTATCATTTTCGTTAGTTCGGTTCATAAAATTCCATTTTAAAAATGTTCGTTTACCTCATGATCTTTTTTTGTTGACATAAATCCGTGAATTTTCAATGGATTTTTGTGCTGTGTTTCGAGAATTTGTTTGATTGAATCCGGTGTCATCCAAATATCTTCAAAATTGTCCAAATGATATTGTCTTGAAGTGGTTAAAAATGATCGAAAATGCTTGAATTTATCTTTGCACACCAGTTCATCATCTCGGTCTAAATGTTTCCAATAAATATCTATTGCCGCGTTAATGTCATCGATTGTCTGTATTTCACGTTGAATTTCATTTGGAATGTGAGTTTTCCACAATTTTTCGGTAAAATATGAGACCATCGGTGCATTTGCCATTCCTAATAGAGTCGTTAATTTTTCCATTGTGCTTCGGATGTGATTCTGAAGCAATTGCGTTGTGATTTCAACACCCATTTTGTTCATATTAAAAACTCAATTTATCACTTTCCGGATATTTTCCGTTTATTTTCAAAATTGCACAAGTTTTACGGTATTGTGCTCGAATTGTGTCAGCCAATCCTAAAATATCGGATTTTTCGTGATTTGTGCGCGGAAAATCGGCGATTAATTTTAGAACGGCGT